AAAATGAATTTAAATATAGAATAGTCCTAAATAGACATTTAGATTTATTTATATTTAGAATTATTTAGTCAAAAAACAGTAAAAACTGTATGTGACGTACTGGGAGAATATCATCTCTGCACGTTTTAATGAGTTTCAGAATCCCTTCCCATCATTTTAACTATAAATAGTTGAGAAAAGACGAGTAAAAGTTAAAGATAAATAAAAATTTTAAAAGTACGAGAAATTTACATTAAAATAGGCCAAAAATGCAAAATAAAACTTCAAAATGCTGCATTTCCATAATTCGTGCACACATACAAGAACCTTGGAATATGTTCGTTAGAATAAAACAGGCATTTCCCTAAACATCCAATGTCTATTCATGACTCACGAAAGCGGCTATGATGAGCTCTGCACTTATGCATCACGTCAAGAGACAGAGACCCACAACGGATTCTATTGCGACATAATTAATAGGTTCACGGCAGACCAATAAAGCATCTGTTTGGGCATCGTATACGTTCCGGTTAATACAGGCGCGTTTATCAGATACACCGTTGGTTCTCTTGATGGATGATTGAAAGGGACAAGGGTCACCCATTTAACACGCCAAATCTTTCAATGGTTTGAATAATGTTGTACGACCTGCACTCAGATGTTTTACCTCTGCACACGGCAATACCAAAAGTGATTTCGCGAATTTATATTTAAGACACGCATTTAGTGCAATGGGTTTTTCTTTTTCGGCTTACTTCGTAAGAAGGTAGAGTATTTTAAATGTGCGCCGGAAATCAACTTTTTTGGGAGAAAACCTCTTATTGCCGGGCCCTTGTAATGAAGATTTGGATAAATCTTCTTCAATCTTTTTCAATTCAAATAACGTCTTCAAACACATTATGTAATCCTAATCCATGTTTTGTGGCACCTTAATACCGAAAAATCTATTGACGTCAAAATTTTTGTGTCCGTGTCCCTCTATCTCTGTCCCTGTATTTTCGAAAATTGCAGAAACAAATTAACATTGCAGAAGTACGATATTGATGTACGATATGAGGCGACTGAATGATTAATGCGTCTATCTTTACATTCACGCCTCAATTCTTAAGATTTAATATGCACGTTTTATAATGTAAAGTAAGTGTTTTAGTAAGTTTTGCCCGGAAGAATAATTAAAACTAGGGAAAATTTTAATAAGAATCGTTACAATTGACAAAAATGTACCATGAAAATGTTACTTGATATATTTGAAAATAAAATTCAATAATCATTACTTTAAGTAATTAATTGTTATTTAATACAACAAGTATCAAGGGACATGTGGGCTACGAATGCGACAAAAACAAACCACAAGAAGCTGGAAAACTTCCTTGGCATACGTAATGGAGTATTGAGAAAAATTCGCAAAACGTGTGTAAACATCAACACAACCAACATGAACCGATAGTATCGCAGCATCTCACGCACTAGCCACCCTCCCGCAGGCCATCTCGCACGTGGAGGCCCCTGATTACCGGAACTGCCGCATGCGTGGCGAACGTGACAGGAGGGACACAGCGCAAGTGTCAGTTGCCGCGTTTCCCGAGGCGACGCATCGCCATTCACAAGGCGGCGCGCGGAGACGGTGGTGAAGGCGGCGGCGGGGGAGGGAGGCGTTCGGGCCCTCGCGGCATCAATTACCTGGCGTGGGAGGCGGAGCGCACGGCTGAGGTGCGGGCGCCGTATGTGCGTGTGAGGGGGGGGCGAGGACGATAGGGCCGTGTCCCCGGGGAAGAGCGCAAGGGAGAGGCGTACCGCACGCAGTGAATCAAGGGCAAAGGGGTTCTCAGGTCGGCGCGTCACGTGCTGTGTAGATGGAACTCCGATACACAGTAGTGGAAGATAGCAAGACCTTCGCCATAGCCGCTTGGTAATATACTGTTTGTAATAAAGAAGGAAATAAATAACAATATAACAATAACACTCCAACAACGCTACAGAAGTAGCAGCAATAAATAATAAATAATAATAATAATAATAATAATAATAATAATAATAATAATAATAATAATAATAATAATAATAGTGATCGCGATTTCATCAATGACCACTAACTAAGCTGACCACTATCGTCATTTCGATGCTCATTTATTGTGTACCAGACATGTCAAAGTCGTGGACAAAGTAACTAGCTTAGTAGAATTCGTGGGCCCTGCGTCCAGAGCAAATGTCGCGATATTTAATAGTAAAGGTTGGTAAATAGTTCCGGTAGGCGGTACATCACTGGATACTTGACCCATAAGTCTTTTGGGGAAGTCAATTGACAATTACAACCCCAAATTTAGAAACATTAATTTCCATTTCCTGTTTTAAAATAAAGAAATGACTCATTAAAGTGTATAAATATATCAATCTAATTTTGTTTTAGAGTTTAAGAGTAAAATTCAACATTTTGAAATCGAAGGTATATTGATCGCATTTACTTTAAGTCCAATTTCATTAATTTTATGTGTAGTATAAAGAAAGTTATGAAATGTTGCGGGGATTTTAACGGAAATACATGTTTGGGGTACTCTGTCCCGAAAAAGTGCTTTGTTTTCTTTGTAACTCAAAACGTCCGTCTGTGATCACCACTAGCGCCTAACCATATGTACGATTTTTTTTCACAATGGAAATTGTCCGCGTTGATCAGCCTCGACTGGAGATGCTGCGATTTTGAAAAACTTGCTTCGAAATTTGGGGTACTTTCACAAAGCCCCCCCCACCCACCCACCCAGACACTTTCAAATTTCTCAAAAACTACTCCAATTTTTTTTTAAATTTCTTGAAAAATTGTTTAAAATACACTTATAAAATGTGACAGATCGATTTTCACGGTTAACTATCATTCACAAAATTTACTAATGTTTAATTTTTTCGAGGTCTTTCTACAACTACAAATTGAAGTTAGAGATTTTTCTCAAATGAAATTGGTTTTTCATTATTAGTTCTTCATTAAATTCATGTACATTTTTTATATCTGAGTAGTTTTCACGCATATTGTGTGCAATATTTGCAATTTTAAAAAATTACAAAAATAAGATTTTTCTCAAAAACCGCTGCAATTTTTTTCTTTGTACGTATGTTAGGAATAGTGCTAAATGCACTATTAGATGACAAATGCATATTGCATTATCTTTTTTATTTCAATCATGTAATAATAATAATAATATATAATAATAATAATAATAATAATAAAATAATAATAATAATAATAATAATATAATAATAATAATAATAATAATAATAATAATAATAATAATAATAATAATAATAATAATAATATAAGAAAATAATAATAATAATAATAATAATAATAATAATAAATAATAATAATAATAATAATAATAATAATAATAATAATAATAATAATAATAATAATAATAATAATAATATAATAATAATAATAATAATAATAATAATAATAATAATAATAATAATAATAATAATAATAATACAATATTGACTTGTCTCTAATGTTCACGTTAGCAGTGATTTGTTCACATTTTATTTACGAGTATATGTACTTTAAATAATGTTGTATAAAATTTCTCGAACCCTCAACAGTTTCTGTTACAATGAGCTCAAAAGTCTGCATTTTCAGAAATTATTAAACGCCATTTTCTCAAAAAGACTCAAAATTATTTCTTGTAATTTTTCCAACGGGTAGCGCCAATTGCACTGATAAAAATGACAAAGTTCATTTTGCTGTATTCATTTAATTTTTATCATTACACCAATGGATTTTATAAATATCTCACACGCTGTTGATATGCACATTTTGAGCGATTAGTAAACACTATTGCATTTGCGATATAAAGTACCTCAAATTACTTTCTCTGTGAAGATTCTTCAAATTTCACATATACTGAAACGCCCAAATGCCACTTCCATAAAAACAGCTCCAATTTTTTTAAAACAAAATTGCGAGTTGAGACGAGATTTTTCTCCACTTTAATATTATAGTAGTAATATTTCTGTTCTATTAAGAAACTGAAGAAAAAAATTGAGAAAATGTAAAAAAAAATTACTTGGGCGGCGATAGATGGCAGCTGGCAAGAGGAAGGAGCTTGACTCAACCCAGTCCACACCAAGAAAATTACAAAACTTTAGTCCGACAAAGGCTGCCATTTGTAGCACCACAAGTTTACTTTCTTGCGTCACATCGTAAGAGAAAGTAATCATGCGCCGAAAATACCCAACGAATATTCAACAGAAAACTTATTATTTCGGATCAATGACGGTTCCTGGTCATGCCGTTAGGGTGCGCAACGCCTCTTCTTCCTGCCCCCCTCTCTCACACACACCATTTGCAAAGACATTGCTTGTATATATAATTCATTAACAAATCATGACAAACATCGTCCTATGACGTTTTGGTAGCATGCTGAACGGTATGTAATCAGAGGGTTTACCACACTTATTTTCCACAACACTTGCTTCGAATTCGCTCGGCAAAGACGCCTTCGAAATATTTACTTAATTCGGATTACCCCGTATCTCCTGATCACTTTGCGCGCGCGCCCCTTGAGCGCTTTGTTGACAAAAGCCCCAGAGCGCGACTGGACACTTCAACACGTCTTATATGATGTTGACGAATCTACACTCCTCCTGACTGCATGCTAGCACAGTCCATATGAAGTAGTTTTAGCTAGCATGGTGGGTGGTATTTGGCTAAATTTTCTGTACTGGGTATATTTGCATCAGTTACGTTAAAGAAACGTTGCGTAGAGAAGGCTCGTTCTGACAATTGGGGGAGAGGGGGGGGGAGGTCAGCCGAAGAAAACTAAAAGAATAAATTTATAGAAAAAAACAAACAAACAAAAAACTATACTCACGAGAATCGCAAGTAAAATGTAATTTAAAAGAGCCTAAGCAAGTCTGCACGAATTGAGGATACGTCGGGTAAAGTTAGGTGCTCACCGAATGTTGCGCAAGGAAGAAGAAACAAACATCAGCGCATAGAATTGTATTTAGTTAAGAAATTAGGAACAAAAATCGCTTATAAAATTAATCGTTTTACGAGCAAGATTTATGGAAACTATGTTTAAAATAAGGACGAATGAAGAGGAGATTAGTCCTCTTGAGAACATGCCGAGCAAATAGTAGGTAGACACCTTGCAGCGGCGCACCGATGACAGGAGACGCAGTTCGCCACGTAGTCTTTCGCGCATCCGCACACCTGCAAGAAGACTAAAGGTGAGTAAAGAGATTTAAGCAGTTTTGGATACGCATTTTGTCCAACTGACCTTGTTTGGAGGCAACGAAACGCAAGGAACGACTATCTCCGCCACGTCCAGGGCCTTGCATGGACCAGTCTGCGAACGATTGGGGCACGCCGCACAAGAACGCCACCGGCCTGCACACCGCTGTCGCAAGCAAGACGGACTTCTCGCCCACCGACAAGGCCCAGCCCACCCCCGGGTAGGCCTTGGCGCCGGCGTACGCGCCCAGCAGACCCTGCACCGCGGGCAGACTGCGCACGCGCCGCAAGAACACGCAGCCGCCGGCCGCCGCGTCGCCACAGAGGCTCCCGGCCTCGCCGTCCAAGAGGCCCATCGAGAGCTCTGCCGAGGGATGAGAGGAAGCAGAGCTGGGCGAAGAGGGCGGCGCCTCCAACGCCCCTCCCGCGGGGGCGTCTCGGCCAGGGGCCCGCGCCTGCGAGCTCCCGCCTGCGCTCGACTGCAGCCCCGAGGTCGACGCTGAGGCTGAGGCTGAGGCCGCCGCTGGAGCTTCAGAGGACGCGGCGGGCGAGGCGGCGAGTGGAGCGGCGACCGGCGACTGCATGGCGTCTCCTAATCCACGTCGAACGCACGTATTAAAAAACACAACTTACTCCAAGGTCGAAGGTGAAAACACCCCCAATACTCCGATACTCACAAAATACCTGGACTGCTGGCTGTTCAAGGTGCCCGGTGTCTGCCAAGGGACAAGGCTCACACTGATTTCTAGCTGTCCGGGGCTTCCCTTTTAAGGCAAGTGGATCGCTGTCTACTGAACGTAAACTCTCTCCGCTTCTCGGTAGGTAGCCAACGAGAGCTCGAAATGATATTTTCACCTCTTAGTTACTAGTCGGTGACGTATTGTAGTATAAATATGTTACATGGATGTTTGTCTCAATTTCAAATTAAATTGAAATATGTAATAACAATATTTGTATTTTTTGTATGAGTTGTCACGCTTATGTCGCTGTTTAGGCTATCGTACAATCGAGTTACGTAATTAATCAAACGGAGTAATGAAATGGAAACATCTTTAAAGTTATAGTATTACGAAATTATAAGAATCGTCATTGATTTATAAATTAAAATCGACAATTATAAGATCAAAATGTATGAAAACTAAATGAATATACAAATTACTTGAAGTTCAAAATAAATTAATATAGGCAAAAAATAATATCTTGTGGGTGTGTGCACGTCAAAATTAATTAAAATTAAATATTTTAAAATTCATCATACAATGATGCAGCACGGAATAATTCACTCATTTTTACGTTGATACAATGTTTTTAATATTTTTAGAGAAAGAATTACAACAAATAGTCTATGAACTGCTTGTACATTCTTGATGATCTTCTCTTGCTTCTAAAGTGTTTTTATTCTAATTTTGTTTTGCAGTCAGATATTATTTCAAATAAATTTTAATGAAATAGGGTGGGATAAAACACAAATGGTGTTAAATTATTGAATAAGCACCTTCTATATTTAATTAATATTATTTATTTTTATGGATATTATTTTGGTATTATTAATAATATCAGTGTTATTCAGAGACATTTTTAAAGTTTTAAATTCTATTCTTAAATATTCTAATAGTAAGTAACAGTTTATAAAGAATTTTCTAAACAATCAGGAGGGTTCTTGTAGTAATTCTCATTGAGGATAAATAAAGTCATATATCGCAATTTCATGCATATTATTTAAGAAACATTTCAAAAAATTGGAACGTAAACCCAAGTTACCATTAGAGATATTTTTGCTCCCTCAGTAGTGCATCAATGAAACCCACAAACACTTATTTTTTAAATAATAAATAAAATAATCCGGTTTAAATTATCTAATTAATTTATACAAGTAGCTTTTAAGTATTTAAATCAGATAAAGTGATCAAACAATTTAGGTTGAGAAAAGAAAGAAGGTATCAAAGTTCAAAGGAGTACCTTGTCAACAGCTGTATGTGGAGACTGGAAAGGAAGCGGTGAGATTAATGATGACACAATTAGTTGATTGCAGCTTATTTATTTAATTATATTACTGAATTTTACTTAAACAATGTTGAAATTTCTTAATTTTCAAACCTTTGGTTTGAATATGTAAGATTTTAAAATTTGTGTTAGAGTGAAAAATGAGGTTGGGTTGAATAAGGTAAGAAGACTCAATGTTTGTAATTTAATTTCTTATCTCAGTAGGATTCATTTATTGCATTAATTTGATATATATCTACAGCATTGCAATAATTACAATTTGAAATATAAACCCGATTTTTACCATGATTTTATGGGATATTTATATCTGGAGAGTTCTGAAATAAATTTCTTAGTGGTTTTGTAAGATACTTTTTATTAACCAACTTTTTTAGTTTTACCTTAACGATTTGATATTTTAACAATGCAGGTCATTCACATTCCTATGAATTAGTCTTAAATAAATCCTCTTCTTGTTTTATTTCCATACTGTTGTTAAAAACCATGATATAGATGAACCAGTGATCATTTAAAGTTGGCAGTCAACAATGACATTGTCTTCTTACTTAAATAAAAATCTTTCATAAGTTTATTGAAAAGCATATGTTTCTTAATAATCTATTTCCCACTGGTAAACAAAAAACTGCCAGAATCACATTGTAATAATCACATAATATACCGATAAGAGTTTGTATGTTTCACAAAGATGAAAACTAATAATATGAAGATGAACTAAAAACAAAATTATGAAGGAAAACTTGTGAGTTGTTGATTTTTCTACGATATTTGCTGTAAACTATATGTTCTGATCTAAAAATTAATCTATTGATAGAAGTAAAAAGATGTTTAAAATTCACCATTAAAATTTAATCCGCTAGTTCCAAACATGTTTAAAAAACATTGCACTACCCATAGATATGAAAAAATCGAACACTTTATCAATTTTCCACGCTGTTAACACAATGCTACACAGGCGTAATAGTTCGACAACCTCTAAATAGAAGAAATTCGATCATAAAACAAGTTTCGAGTAAATCAAATCATCAGATATTATACCGTGGCATGCACAAAGCAAGTTACACTCATCATTCCTGTCACAATTTAAAGCGATCGTGTGTACTATTTGTTCGAGTCCCATTGTTTGTGAGCAGAGTCACATCCATTTGGAGTAAATTAACAAATATTGTAGCTGTCCATTAAACTGCAATAATATTACTCGCTCAAATGCCACTTTAGTTGTTTGAACCGCGCTCACTACTTGCTCTGGGGAGCCGGCAATTTATTTTCCTCTCGTAAGTTTGACCGCGCATTTAAATAATAAAGGGGACATGTCCGCGCAGCACACACGCAGTTAGGCAGGGCGCAGTACGATCTTTCAAGTGGCTCTCTGTCACAATTCCCTCCCATTACGTCATCTTAGCCCTTCCGGTTCGATTTCCTGTAATGAAAAGTGTCTTTAGCATTTTATTTTTATTTTTAAGGTCGCATCAACAACTAGGACATTAGCGAACACTATAGATTAACGATATGGTTCACAGTATGATGCGGTTGGAGTATGGTTCACAGTATGGTGCGGGGTATGGTGATGTTGGAGGCTGAAAGGATAAACATAAATACAACCATGCCCGAGGCGGGACTCGAACCCGCGATCTTTCAGACTGAGATCGCTACAGCACTTCTGGCTTAACAATCAACTGAAGGCCATCCGAACGGCCGTGTCTTTAGTTTTTCTTGATTCGATAATTATATTTTAGTAATATTATGTAAATAAAAAATTACTATAGAAATCTTCGGTGTTTTATTAAGACTTATTTATGATTCTATTTATTCAACTTTCATGTCACCATGCCCTGGAGCGTTTATATTCGAGCAGTCAAAACGTGAATAGCAAACGTCAATAGCAACCAACTAAATCGCCGTTGAAGTTGTTCGAGCAAGCAGTAATTCACACACACAAAATCCATTTACATTAATAATTACAAAGAAAAACTGTCTTATCAACTGTGTACTATTTAATAAAATAATTATTTCCATATCATTCTATGCTAAACATAGTTGAAGAGCAAACAATGTTGCCGTGGGTTTGTCTACACATTTGTAAATATGAGTAAGTTGTGACCGTTTCAGAATGTCGTATCTATTAAAGCGGTGATACTGAAACTAGATACCTGACCTTTTGGCCTATACTCTTCAAATACGGGTGCAATCTCTATAATATTCGCGAATGTCTCTAAGGTAAAAATATGTAATAACGACTACTAAAGTACGAAATGTTTCCAAGACTACCATGCATGGAAAGCTAATCCGAAAGCCTCAAAATATCATCAGTAAATTTACATTCTTGTTCATGAACAATATTCTCGTTCCAGTAGTTGAGTATTAAGTATCTAAATTAAGGTATGTGATCAAAACGTTTGTAATTTTTCGATGTAACTGTTTCTTTAGTCATTCAGATATTATTTTCTATTTTTTCTATAGTTTATTATCTTGAAAGTGTTTGCAGAGATTTCCAATAGAAGGTTAGGACAAACAAAATTTTTTTGTATTTATGGTTTCTGAATTTTTTATGGTGCTAACAATTTGAAGCTTTCTGACTTTTTTCAATGATTCTAAATTTTTTATGGTTTCTGATCATTTTTGTGGTTTCTGAAACGTTTGGGCTATCACAGGACCTAATATTTCTCCCTAGTGAATGAATCACTACTTATACCCCTTATTTAAATATATATAAAGTATGATTTTTTTCAACAAATTGATGGGTATAACCTCCTTCATATTTTTGAAACGGCTGAACGAAAGTTGCTCTCTGCCCACTCCACATATTTATACCCGCCATAAAACCGGCTATCTGTCGCTGAAATGTGCCATCGGGGTACCTCGGTAATTCTACATACCAAAAGACTGACGAAAAAGTCTACGGGCCAACTTCGACAGCCAAAGTTCATACACCGAAATATAGATATAGAGGAAATATCATGAAAAAAAAGAGTTGTGATGTGGCTAGCTAGTCGTTGAGAGGGTCGTAATAGCTAGAGAATCCTGTTCTAAAACAGTACACAATACAATAATGTAGCAGGTAGTGAAGCTGGAACGCACGCACAACTTTAGGCGGTGTCTTTCAAATATTTATTGATTTATTTAACCAGCTAATTTAGTTTTATGTAAATCAGATAATAGAAAATGCCACTTAACAATAGACTTTAAAACAAGTAAAATGAACAAACAGATTTCGAAAACTCTCAAGGACAGTTCCGCCACCTGTTAAAGTGTGCAAAGTTGTTCATCTGCGAATTAATCATATGAAAGTTTCTCGCATGTTTTACAACCTGCATTAAACACTACATCAATGAAACTAAACTTACGCGTCGTATAGCATCCAAGTACATCCGTTCATTCGTTCACAATTATTCATTTTCTCTTTCCTTTTCGACGATTTTTAAAAATGTTATAATGATAAAAGGTTTAGAGACGTTTAACAACCAAGCCAATGAAATATATTGGGAAAAATAAGAAAATTTTGAAAATGTTGAGACTTGTAATGAAGTCTTAAAAGCCAAAATATTAATTTCAGACTCGCAAAGCCTTGAGATTGATCAAGGAATATTTAAAACGTAGCGTTGACCATAGACAGACGAATGGATGGACAAACGTTTTACCGTCAATCGATTTTGTATTACATTACGTATCAAAGACCTCCAAAACGTGGGTTCTAACTGCACAGCGTGTTAGAGGAAGTAATTCACAATGTTCTACATATAAGAACA